ATTCATAAGGCCAACTATGATCAATATTTCCAATTGTTTCATAGATGCCGACAAGTCCTAAATTTGCTATGGCAGATGCATGCATTTCAATGTTATAATCACGATCTGAATCTTCACGATAATAGTCCATCAACAAAAAAGTTAGTAACATATTAAATTCCCGTAGTAAACACACTTTGCAGCCCACGCGTGTTTATGTGTGCGTGCCTGTGTGTGTTTCTTATTTTAGCAGAAAGACGCGAAGAATTATTGATATACCAGTTCCTCGTAGGGAGGGGTTGTCGAGCAGTCTCGGAAAGAGTTTTCTAATTTTTTTATTCTCTTTCCAATTTTAAGCCATCTTCCTGGCAATTCGTTACGTCGCATTTGAAATTAACAGCCAACTTTTCCACGCATACCTTACACGAGCTGATGCAACGTGGCGTATGCGTAACCACAATGAGAACCTCTCCTGACTGCTGGGCAGCATGACGGCTTATTATCAGCAAGGGCAGTGGCAGCACTCTGCACGCGTGCCACAAACTGAGGAGAGAGAGAGGAAAGTGCTCATCCATGGTTGCTGCACTTGTCGTGTGATGGATTAAACGGCTCTTAAGCTGCAGCCGAGCGATAAGCGACGTTCATGGCAAGCCATTTTTGAGCTGCTAGTTGCACTGCCACGCCCACTGCCCACTGCTACTGCCATTTGCGACTCACTTTAGACACCTCAGCTAGTGAAAGCTGGCAATTAAAGTCCGTTTTAAAATTGAAATGTAATTTTGTCAGTATGAATGTATGGCAAAGCATCAGACAGCAGTCAACAGCATGCAAATTTTGTATTCTTGTGCACTTAAAATGCATACGAATAATCCCCAACAAAAGAGAGGAAATTTCAGTGCGATGCAGTGCACGTATGCGGAGAATTGTAAGCACTTAAGGAAAAGTAAATTTTCGGAACCCAAACCAGAGATAGTAAGCAAAAAGTAAATACAATATATACAAAAAATTGTAATAAATTTGTTGTGTTTACTAGACGAATATGATTTCAATTACTAAATAATTTAAAATGTTAAATGAATACACAAGACGTACAACCAGACGTGGAAAGTATTTATAAGCATAACTTAACGGAAAATAGTCTTCATTATTGGGAAATACTCTGCAAGTACGGCACACAATCATAGCGATTAACAATCCAGCTGTTGCACATGGACATAATAATGCTAATAATGCCCGAACCACTTAATCTGCGAAGATTTGCGAATAGAATTTAGACGGAGCCCGAGTTGGACAGTGCAATGCTTCCTGTATGCCAAATGCGTGCTCCAAATATAGATGTAGTTATACAATATTATGCATGCATGTAGGAGAAGAAATTGCAACTCATAAAACCAAATCAGCAAATCGGATTTGATGGTCAAGTGTTTTGGGTGTGGGTGGCGATTATGCCATTCTCATGCTTCATGCTTCGTTTTTATAGTTGGTTTGTTTATGCAATTTATGAAACGATTGCCGGTATACATGTGTGTGCCTGTGTGCGCGCATATGTATGCTATATATATGTATACACATGTCTGAGCGTGTACACACATATGAGCCCCCTGTCGAGCTTTGGCATGCGATCAAATGAAGATGCCTAATAGAGATTTTGTGACCCCCGGCATTCGGCGTTCGCTGTTGCATGCGGTTGCGTTTGATTGGTTTTAAATTACATTTTCGGGCAACAGTTCTTGATTTATTGAGTTGCTATTGAAAATTATGTGACGGCTAATATTTTCATATACATTATGCCGAAATGTTTGTAAGCATCAACTATTTGTAGACGCCTTTTGGGGAGGGTCTCATTGCAAATACAAAACTAAAGCAATACAGTGTTAAATATTTCAAATGTTTATTGGACTGATTAATTTGCATTCCTAACAAATTTATAGAGCCAACAATTTAGCATATTAAATACAACAAAATGTAAGCCGTTTGAAGAGTAAATATATACGAACAAATGTCATCGTAATTTTCTTTAAGCAATGTTTATGATTTAAATATTTATACTCATATACTAAGAGTAAAGAAACAAAAGAGAGATAGTCTTTGGTCACGGTAGATGCACAGATAAGGGTACCCTCCACTGGTTGTTCTTATCTGCATCTGCTTGCCTTAATTTAAACTTTTATTTCATTTTTCATTTATCTTGTACTATTTTGTAGTAACAATTTCGGTAATTTCATTACTGTGACATTACATTAGCATTTCCAAATTACACAACTGTCCGGGCCGAAGCACAGTTTTCAGTCCCTCTGCTGCGTCGTCCCGACGGAACAAAGTTTGTGCAGCTGCACATCCGTTTTGATGACGACGCTTTCAGCGGCCTAGAGGCATAAGTAAAATCAAGAAAGATGCGCAGTGCAGGGCAGACCCAAACAGAAACACAAACAGTAGCACCAACACCAGCACCAGCACTAACACCAACACAAACCGAACCCAACCGAACTGAACCGAACCGAAAGATAAACATTTGCCACAATACCCGGCAGTGGCCATCAATGGCAGACGGTCTGAATGGCAATGGCCATGCCAATGGCATACGGTAGTCCACGACAATCATCGATGAATTGGACGACAAAGTTTGCAACCGGACACCGACGCGAACGCGGACGCGGACGCGGACTCCGACGCGAACTCGAGCGCGGACTTCAACTCCTATTTCAGCTAGAAGCCTAACTGCCGACTCTCAACTGCCAACTCCCAGCTCCAAACGCCCAGCTCCTGTTTTGTGCTTGTCTCAGCTACAAGATTGGTGTTGGGGCTCTGCGTACATAGTTCACTACAGTTGGAAAATTACTTATTTTTCAATTGTTGGGCCCCCCTTCGAATGGCATTTGGCATTGTTGTAGCCACTGCCGCCATGCAATCTTGATTACTGTCAGTAGCAGCAGTTGTATTTAAAATTGGCTAACAAGTTGTATAGCATTTGCCAAAAGAAATGGGCATGAGGGCGCTGCGAACGACGCTCCTTTTGCTGCTTTTAACTTTTCATTTAGTTTTTCCAGCCTCCATGCTGCACGCCATCATCCCTCCCTTTTCTCCTCTCTCTCTCTTTCACTCCCTCGTCCATTGTTCAGCCAGAGTCACAGTGTGGCAAGTTGGCTCTCTTTTCATATCAGCGAAATTCTCAATGATCTGTCGATGCGGCGCCTCCCGCCATAACTTCATGCGCTCCCTTAGGTCTCACTTCACTGAATTCTTTTGCTATTTTGCCATTTTGTTATTTGTTTTCGTGCTTTCGTTGCCCAACAGTTGTGATTTTGTGTTTTTTCTGTCAGACTTGTTATACCCTCTTCTGTATAGAAGTTGTTGAGTATACCAATTCAAGCATATCCTACTACAAACTATATACTAATTACAAAAGAAAATAAATCAAACTAAAAGGTGAATCTATCCCAATGGAATCCGGCCATCCCGCTTGATGGTTAATCATAGCAGTGCATACCCTGTTAGCGTATGATTCTAAGGCAACATGATTCTATGTTTGATTCCGCCATTGTGTTTGTAGTTGCATGTGTCTTTGTGCCGTTGTGCATTGTGCACATTTGTGCGGCAATAATTTGATGTTCATGGGATATTGTCATTTGTTGCAATTGCCCAGACTGCCCCGGCTATGCGATGCTGACATTGATAGCGTCACGGGACTTAACAAAAAAAGACGTAAATTTGCCATTGCTTTCATGGATTTATTTGCAAATTACAGGATGCGCTTTAGCTAATCAGGGCCTGACAAAATGACCCACAAAATAAACGATTTGATTGTTTCGTATAGCAAACACAAATGGATGGTCAGCTACGAAGACTTTGCGCTCCGGATTGGCTTTGACAAATCGACTTTTAGTGGCTGCAAAAGAAAATAGCTTATAATCTGAAAATCTATATTAACGCAGCTGATCCTCACATTCGTCAATATCAGTTGTGCAGCCAGCCTCGTTAATACTCATAGACAGCTTTTGCCTTGCCTCAGTGATAGGATGCGGTGCCTTCTTTGCAAACAGTCCTTTCAAGTCGGCGACCCCGTTCTTGAAGATGCGCTTTACTCCCAACTACCGTTAATTACATGTTCAAAGAATCTACCTATGAATAAGGGAATGCACTTGACTCACTTTCTGCAGAGGTTCCTTCAGATCCACATCACACTCGATCTTGAATCTGGGCAGAGTAACGTCAACATCATGCATCACTGACTTCTGGGCTACTTCGTTTAAATCAAGCTTCTCTAGCTTCGATTCCAGTTCCGAAATTCCCAATTCTTCCAATGGTAAAATTAGAAGCAGACTTATGTCCGATTCTTCAAAGGGCAGTTGGAGAATACGCGAGTTCAGTTTCTTAGACTCGCCAAAGCGGAACTCACCGATCTGAGCGCAATAAGCCATCAGTATCAAAAATATATGGTATGTACTCTGTTAGTACTGGTGTAAGACCCACCTGTCGCATCATAGGAAGCTGCATTTTCTGTTCCGCACTTATCGTGAAGTCTCCTAACATGGTGTTCTTCTCGGGAAATCTATTGGTCCACTTGGCTCGAAAGTAAACCGTGTTGACCAAGAAAATCCTAGACTCCAGGGTGAACGCATCCGGAGTGAGCAATTTGCGCACAGTATTAAAGGATTGTCGCTGAAGCCATGAATTGACCTGATGCATTGAGCCTACGGCATCCAAAAAGTTCAAGGTATCTGCTCGAGTATTGAAGAATTCGCCTGCTTGTGAGTTAAAGTTGGGATGCAAGTCCTGCTCGTTCGTTATATATAGTGCGGTTGCCAGGCGTATCGAGGGGCCTTTCTCGTTGCACACACAATCTTTACTTATGGACTCAGCGTGTTGCTTGGCGATTGTCATCTTCTTGGCTGGCCCCAGCAACAGTCCTGAGCGCAATTCGCCCGCAGTCTTGCCGCCTGCAGCCATGAATACAAGAGTCAGGGCACTGCGTGCGCCAGCGGGTGATATGAGTAGATTCTGAGCCTTCGATTCTTCATTTTTGTTCACCACGCGCAGAAAGTTCCGCGCGAACAGAATTTGATTCGGAGTCGGTGGCGTGAGTAGAGGGCCTCCATGTGGCATGTTGGTGTTGTGAAAGCAATACAATTTTTGTACAAAGTGTTGTTTGTGTTAACTTAATACATTTTCAGTTACTGGGTAAGTGAAATAGATCTGTTTACCTTGTTAACTAAACTTGTTTCCTTCTCTGAATGACAGTTAAGGTATTATAGTTGATTTGATTTTGTATTTTAAATTGTATAGCTGTGCATCAGAGGTATCGCCTCTGCCAGTTGACTAACGAAGCTACCGATTTATACAATTGAAAGCAGCTGCTGTTCAATTATAATTCAGATGACACAACAGCAAGTCAATAGCGAAGGGTCTCTGCTCTGACTGCCGACTTTGTGTGCTCAATTGCAGCCTGTGCGCCATTTTGTTTTCTCATTCAACCTCTTGGCCTCAGTGGCCGCGTTTGTTTGACTGCTGTGTATTCACCTGTCGTCCTTAACAGGTGTCTGCACATTTCAATTGACAGGGATGGCTACCCTTGCCATTGCAGCTACGCGTCGTTTCGCGCATAATTTGCGCCTGATTGCGTCGCTTATGCGCCCAATGGATTTGAATTTATATTTCAATTTCATTTGGCACACCTTTTAATGTCACACACACACACACTCACGCGCATATTAACGTATACAATGGTACATTCACACAGACACACACAGGCACAGTCAAATACACGCACAGCCAGACAGTGAAACGCCGATGCACTCAATCATGCATTTGATCATGCACTCGGTTGGTGCAAATGAACAAATTTTCCATCTGATTGAACCGTTTAAGTGTAATTCGTTTATGGTTCAATTTAATTGATTTGTAAAAACAAAGAACCTCCGAATGAATAATGAACGGGCTTCCAATTCGATTGTCTTGTGCTGAGCGCAAAAGTCCCGGCTGAAATATAAAATTAATATTGAATTGTCAGAATGCCACAGGGCGGATGCGAAAAGTTTTAAGCCCTCAGTATCAGCATTTCAATATCAATAGCTGAATTTGGTATTCGGCATCAATATTCAAATCGGCACTAATTGCGTTTTAATGAAGTGCCTCAAGGTATGCTATACGAGTGTGCGCGACACAGCAGCAGCAACAACAACAGCACCAGCACAGAGCTCAACAGCAGCAGACGACCGGATATCCGTGAAATTTGGTAGTATATTGTGCTTATGCAGCTTAGACGCGAAACAAAATGAAACAATTTTAAATTGACAGTGGAAGTGAATGGTAGAACGAGCAGCTGCAGCTCACTGGCAAATTTCTTGAGCGCCCAAAGCTATCATTTTCGATTGTGAAAGTTTCTGTGTGCGCTGCGGTTGTACCACCCGCCCAGTCCAGCCCAGGCCAGCTCTGTCCTGCCCTGCCCCGCCCTACTCAACTCAATCCAATCCAAACCACATGTCGAACCACTACGCAGCTACTACTTCCGCCGGCATATGCAGCGCGCTGTGCAGATTCAGAGGAAACTAGTTTGCGGTTGCCCTCACTTCAAATCTTAAATGGCCCACAAGGTTTCGAATTCGGGCTTGAGTTTGAGTTTGAGTTGGGGCTGAAGCCGAACCGCAATAAATATGAAATTTAGTTGAAATTCTCTGAATGTGATACAATAGCAGGCAAATTGCATAGATTCGCTTTTGTTGGGTCTTCAAATAAGCCGCATCTCCGAACGCTATGATAATTTAATTTCACCGTTTTTTGCACAATATTCACAAACTTTGCCACATTTGAGCGGAATGATTCCGTTCGAAATTGTAATAAAAAAAAATTGCTGTATATCATTTTTTTTTTTTCTCATTAAATTTTAGTGCACATCTCGACGAGTGGCGCAAGTTTGATAAATCCCGTATGAGGACGTTTAAACTGGGTCTACATATGACTTTGCCTTAATTTTATGTAAATGTGTGGTGTCATGTATGTTAATTGTATTTGCTTTGAAGTTATGTACAGAAGCGGCCTGACTTTGTCCATTCAATTTGAGGTCCGTTTGACAAAGAAGCAAATATCGAATGACAAACGCCAAATGCCAAATGCCAAATGGCAAATGTCGCAGCATAATTGTCACTAAGTATGTCAAACACGTTACCAAGCAAACGCAACGTTGGCCCCAATCACAAGCTGAGACTGTAGTTGGAGTTGCAGTTGTAGTCGTCGTTGTCGTTGTCGTTGTCGTTGTCGCTATAGCTGCAGTTGCTGTTGTAGTTGTAATTCAGTTCGAAGACAATCGGGGCTCAATAATTAATTGTTTGTCACACTTGTGTAATGTATTTTGCATTTGCAATTACTCGATTGCTGCTACACGCACGCACGCACTTATTTATTTATTAATTAAATCATTCATTGTTCAATCAGACCAGTGAGAATCGTTGCAGCTGTCTTGAATGTTTTCCCATCTTGCATTCACACGGCACGCAGCGCACAGCAGACAATTCACAACACATAACATCAGGTAGGAGGTATGGCAGGTAACTAATCAATAAGAACATCTCCCTGAGCTTCTGTCAGGCGCATTCATCATTTAATTAGTTTCCTTTTCCACAGTGCGAGAATTGTCTGATTTGTGGTAAATGATTTCAATAAATTAGTACAAATTCGGAGAACCATCGCAAGGCATCTCGAGAGAATGATAAGGGTAACTGGAAAACTCCTCTACTCCATTCTAAATTCGTTAAACTGAATCAATTGATTATTTTCCGGCATCTTACCATTTCCATTGTCGATTGTATTGCCATATATATTTTTTTATTTTTTCCTTTTATTTATTATTTTTTTTTTTTTTTTTGCTCGAGACAAAACTGTTTGTATTTGTTTAGGCTTATGGCCAAGACGATAAAACCGTCTCAAGCGCAGACCAATGCCAACAATAAGCCAAGAACAAATTTATGCACTTAATGCACTGAATTTTATATACCCTTACTTCCAACATACTCTTATTTGTAATTCAGCTTGAGCGAATAGCAATATTATACGAACTCCTGCTCTTCAAATGCATGCTTTTAGCGAAATATTTTATTTTTGTTACAAATTTTGCCGTAAAGTTAAGGCTACTCAACGGCCGACAAGTGTATCCAAACAATGAAGGAAGAAACAATAAAAATACGATTTTATGTCTATGACAGGGTTGAGTAGGTAAACACATACACACACATGCACACACATGCGAGCCAAAGAGAGATAAATAGTCAAGAGTGGAGAGCTCTCCAGAAATGCTAGACATTGGCTAAATTTAAACAGCACAAACACATAGATGGCCGAGCCCTCCATAATACATACACTCACACACATATACACACAACGTCGGGAGAAATACGAAGAGCTGAATTTCCTGTGCCTTTCTTCGATTTGATTTTTCATTTCCGCTGCAAATGGTGACAAGGCGGAGCGAGACTTGAAATAGTATGTGAGCATGACTGTTTGTGTTCTGTGTGTTGATTTCTTGTGAAATATCAATACACCAAGGAGCAAGGCAAACACACACGTGTACACAGAATTGATGTGACAATTTACCTCAAAGTCCACTTGAGAGAGAGCTCAAGTTGGGCTTGCGCTACTTGTCTTTGGGAGAGCAATCGTTCGTTTGCAGTAAATTTAAACACAACCCGAAAACGAATTTGCTTGGTCAAAGACCAGGGCGACGACAGCGGCAGCGACGGCAACAGCGAGAGCTACAGCTACATATGTGCAACCGCAGTTGTTTGGTCAACAGTGTCAGTGACAATCATTAACACAAATCAATAGGATTAACAATATTCTGACCCAGCTCATCGCACTGGCAACAGTGTCAGGACACGGCTCTGTTAATGGCATTGTTCAACTTTATGCCGAAATCAACGCGTTTGCAACCGCAGACACAAATGCGCACACACATGTACACATATACACATACGCATACACACACATATGCATATAGAGTCGCAGACACACACACATGCATAAAGAGTAAATACAAATCAACATGACAGACACAGACTTAATCAGAAAGTAGTGCAAAGTAAATTGAATGCATGACCGAAAAAGGGAACTGGACGCCATGTCCAGAAATGGTTAGCACTTAATTTCCTATTTGTGCTTTTCGAATCTGAAGCCTCTGCCCCGGACATGTTGCCATGTTTTGCATGTGCTTGCTTCCAAAGAGATTTTTCGCAGCTCCTTTCATAGCGGCGCGCAGAGCTCGGGAGAGCTCGGCAGAGACACTGAAGCAGTATGCATTTAAAAACAGTAATTCAATTCCAGTTATTGGCAGTTGCTATTGACCATAGTCAGCTCACAATGGATAGCCGGCACACAGGAAAAGAGCAAATCCTGTTGGTCAGCCAGCATCTGAACTGCTGTAAGTCAAGTGCACGACTTATTTTGCACCGCAATTTGCAGACAGTTTTTAGTTTTAATTGAGCCCTCGAGCCGTACAGTCTCATTGTTGGCTAACTTGAACTTCAACTGGTAGAAAATCAGTTTCATACCGGTCTTAACTTATGGTAATAACTCAAGACTCGCAGGCAACAGGGTTTACAACTTTATCAAAGTATAAAATGTTAGTTAAAACCCACAATACCAACAACACGCAATTGTAAAAGTTGCTGCCAAGAGACTTTTCCACTCACAAATGCCAAATGGCGGCGAACACGCAGTTCCTAACTCCTAACTCCTAACTCCTTTGCCGGGCACGCACGGCTGCCTCGCTTAATTTTGTTGTCAACTGCTATCCGGCATTAACTACCTTATAGCCACTATACCAATGCCAAAGCAGCCCACAGCCAGCCGGGAGCCGCCGTCTGCTCTGCTCTCTGCGCAGCATAATTCTCTCGAAATGTTTAAACATGTGCGAAACTTTTGCACCAAAAATTCGTTAACTGTCAAAATATTGTGTGCTGTGTCGAGTGTAAAGCAAATCAGGTAAAATGCCAAAACATTTTGCAGATTGCAAGTGAGGCGATTGTGTGTGGACAGGTGTTGGCATGCTTTTAACTTTTCAACTGAGTACTGTAAATTGTAAATTGTAAACTATAAACTGTAAACTGGAAGCTGTAAATTGTAAATACTTTCTGTTTACTTGTTATTTTTGAATGTCG